GGTGCGGGAGATAATCCCATAGGCATAGAGTTTCAATTGTTTGTTTCTGTACCCGGCACTCACTAAGTAAGAATGAAGACAACTGGGCGCTGTAGTTTCTGTTTGCACTTACGAGCACTATTTTTGTGAAGGCAATATTATCATATGTATCTTTTTTCTTCTTTTTTTGTTTTGTTTCCACGAATCATCATCATCATCATCATCATCATCATCATCATCATCATCATCATCATCATCATCATCATCACTAATCACCATCATCACTAATCACCATCATCATTACCATCATCCTTATGATAATCATTATCATCACCATTATCATATTCATAATCATCATCCTCACCATCATCATCATCATCATCATCAACGATTTATATACAACAGTTGCATGCTATGATCCCATGTTCTACTTGTATGTAACCTAATGTGTCCACCGACATGCCAGCCTCAGGGAAACGTGTGCAGACTTCAACGAGAATAGCCGAGGGAGGTGCAGTTTTCCCGTTCCTGATCGTTTTGTTGCCGTGTGTGTCAGGTGTGTCAGGTGTGTCCGGTGTGTCAGGTGTGTCAGGTGTGTCAGGTGTGTCAGGTGTGTCAGGTGTGTCAGGTGTGTCCGTTTCTTTGTTTGCTTGGGTGTTTGTTTGTCACGTATTGTTGTTGGTGTTTGCTAGAGCACAGCCTTTCTAGCGGAGTGCACGAACTCATAATTTATTGATTTTACTCTCTTATGCCGCATGTTATACCCACCGTGTGATAGTGATACTGATAGTAGCACGTACTGGTTTCTTTCATTTTTCCATATTTTTGTTTAAAGTGGCAAGGTCGGAGAGTTTTACAAACCTGCAGCCTGAAGGCTTGCCTACAATTAGTCGCTTTTAAGGACAAGCGGGCTAACCCAGAAATCTTGACCTACACCAAAAGTGGGCATTGCCCTACCAATAGGAGAAGTTTGGTTTTATTGGTGTGTATATTTGTTTGGTGATATAGAAAACTCTCCTTGACTTTCAAAGAAACTGAACAAGGGGCAGAAACTTTACCTTCGATTTTCTCAAAACAGCATTTTTCGGGATAGTCCCCTTGTGCTTAAAAGCGACCAGTTTTACTTGTGCTGTGTCTTATGGTCTGTGACAAGATCAATGATGGTCAAGAGACGAGACAACACGGGACAAGAGCTGACGTGACTAAAAAGCAGTACCGGTACCTCAATCAACTGTTTCTCAGCTTTTTCCCAATTTCACATGACATGGGCTTTACGAAAGAATGAAAGAACATTGAACAAACGTGTTCATAGATTAAAACAGTAAAGAAAAAGACGGGCTTGGGTCTCAGAAAGAGTTCACACTTTGGCCCATATTTTTTTAATGTATATATATATATATATATATATATATATATATATATATATATATATATATATATATATATATATATATATATATATATATATAAATATAATGGATAAAGCTGAAAGTCAGTTTCAACCGTTTAAGCTTCTTTTGTCGAGTAATTGATTCAAAAGAAATGTGATATTGCTCATCTCGTTACCGTTGGTCATTAGTCTGTCCTCAAAAGCCACACTGTCGATTTCAATGTGATGGGGGTAGTTACTGGAGTATTAGTAAGTTTAGTTGTTGTTTTTGACTAGATCTACTTATCGTTTGTCTAAAAATAGTAGAGACAAACAAACAATGTGATCCTTTGTGTACTAATCTGTCCCCGGGGTTTTATACCCACATAATTTAGCAAAATTTGATCTTTTTTTTTCATTAGTTCTGATCATTTTCCTTATTCATTCATTCTTAAAATTAACAGAATCGCATAATTTCACATTTTTTAGCTCAGTTTGCATAATTTCTGAGATTTGTTTCTGCATAAAACCGCGGGGAGAGCCTAAAAATGTATGTCATTGTTTCTTTTTTATCTGCTACGTGTCGGACATTTCGTGCAGGTTACAAGTAAAGGAAAAATAATAAGATCCCAAATGTGTCATGTACAAATTAAATGAACAATTTGCTACGATAACGATATTTAGGTACAATGTTTCTTAGACCTGGTGTTACCATTGTAGAAAGCCTACTATTAAGGACGTACTGAGTAGGCTACTTGTATTGTATCCTTATCTACAACGACTAGATCTAATTGTAACCACACATTATTTGAACGAAGAATTTTTGCACAGCTCTTTTGTGATTGTTGTTATAATGAAATATTCCACCATGTTTCCTTTCGTGACATTTCATGTCCATGACTTTTGCTTTGAAGCCATGTTTTCTTTTTTCGCCGTCTAAGTGCGCACTACGGACGGGATCGGCCGATCGAGCAGATCGCCCGACTCGATCGCCTCAAAAACAAACGTGTTTGTTTTCAGTCTCAGGCGATCGAGTCGGGTGATCGGCCCGATCCAGCCGTAGTGGGCACCCCGTCTTAGGCTGACTCCTCATGTTTGTACA